GATATAAATGGAACTTCAAATAAAACCAATTTCCTGTGTCGAGAAGTGTCTCCTGCCTATGGTGAATTGGGGCATTTGTGTTATTTCTCAAGTCCTGTTGCTCCTCAGTCCCATCTTCCTTCTTACCATCCCTCAGTTTACCTCCTTTGTTTATACTGTTGCTTAGCCTTATTGGCTGCAGCAATTCATGAGTTCTTTGTCAGCAATATGTACGACTTGATGATGCCATAGGTGCAATTTCAGAACTGTTAGCTGATTGAAAGAAGCGGCTTACTTTTGTACTTGTTCAAAGCAACTAGCCTCCACCTGGCTGCGCATAATAATAATAATAATAATAATAATAATAATAATAATAATTTATTATTTATACCCCGCCCATCTGGCTGAGTTTCCCCAGCCACTCTGGGCGGCTACCAATCAGTGTTAAAAACAGTACAGCATTACATATTAAAAACTTCCCAAAACAGGGCTGCCTTAAGATGTCTTCTGAATGTCAGGTAATTATTTATCTTTTTGACATCTGATGGGAGGGCGTTCCACAGGGCGGGCGCCACTACCGAGAAGGCCCTCTGTCTGGTTCCCTGTAGCCTCACTTCTCGCAATGAGGGAACCGCCAGAAGGCCCTCGGCGCTGGATCTCAGTGTCCGGGCTGAATGATGGGGGTGGAGACGCACAACAGAAGAGTCTTGCTGGATCAGACCAAGAGTCCAATTAGTTTCCAGCGATGTCTAGCAAGATGCCCTAGGAAGCACAGGTCAGCACAAAGGAAACATTTATCTACAGACCTGTGAGATAAATTAATGGAAGATAAAGAGTATCAATATCACACACACATAGCTCTAATGCGGTCCACAGACCCAAAACAGACAGTATCAATATCTACCCCCCATGATGGCTATATGCTACCTCCAAGGTCAGAGGCACCCAGCCTTTGAATATCTTCTGTGAGCTTCCTATAGACATCTAGCCAGATGGTGACAATGCGAGAAAATGCTAGACTATATAGAGCAGGCATAGGCAAACTCTGGCCCTCCAGATGTTTGGGACTACAATTCCCATCATCCCTGGCCACTGGTCCTGTTAGCTAGGGATGATGGGAATTGTAGTCCCAAACATTGGGGGGGGGGCGAAGTTTGCCTATGCCTGATATAAAGCTTTGGTCCGTTCCAGCAGGTCTGTTATCTTTGCATATCAGAAACTCTACCAAGTTTCTCTTGGAAAATTTCACATAAAGAACCAAGGTTATCCCACAGAAAATGCAAAGAAATAATGAAACAGTTAAGAAATATATAGGATATGAGGAGTATGTTGAAGGAATGACCAGCATACATTCTCCTTCTGGGTTAGCTTGAAGTGTTAATTTCTAAGGAAGGTGTATGCTATAGAATTCAAGGTATGCCCCCAAGGGGAAAAAAACCCAGCCATTGATTTGAATATGTGAATTTAATATGAAGAATGATCCCAAAGAGCACTAGATTCTAAAGATTTTAAGCACGTAATGTAGTTGAGTGGGGACGCGGGTGGCGCTGTGGGTAAAAGCCTCAGCGCCTAGGGCTTGCCGATCGAAAGGTCGGCGGTTCGAATCCCCGCGGCGGGGTGCGCTCCCGCTGCTCGGTCCCAGCGCCTGACAACCTAGCAGTTCGAAAGCACCCCCGGGTGCAAGTAGATAAATAGGGACCGCTCACTAGCGGGAAGGTAAACGGCGTTTCCGTGTGCGGCTCTGGCTCGCCAGAGCAGCGATGTCACGCTGGCCACGTGACCCGGAAGTGTCTCCGGACAGCGCTGGCCCCCGGCCTATAGAGTGAGATGGGCGCACAACCCCAGAGTCTGGCAAGACTAGCCCGTACGGGCAGGGGTACCTTTACCTTTACTTTAATGTAGTTGAGTGGTCCATTTCTTCCAGCACTAGAAAGCTACAAGAGAAGGTTGTTGTTGTTGTTGTTGAAGTGTTAAAACAGCATTTGAAGTGAGTATTATGGGTTACTGAAATTTTCTGTGGGGTTGTTTGAAAATTCAACTTACTTACCTGTTGACTTCTCCTTGGATGAACTGTTACGCACCTTGTCTGCTTCGTTTCACAGTACTTCAGAGCTACATTCCATACCAATTGGCTATTGTGAATTAATACTTTGGGGCTATTCAATGCAAAATGCTAGAACTAAGACCATTTTGTCCTTCACATATGTTTTCCTGATTGATTTGTTATGCCTAGTAGTTCACCTTTTGCTTTACTGCAACTTTAGCCAATAATGAGTATGGTAGAATACCAGAGATGTGAACTTCAGATTGCATACTGAACACAAACATGCAAACATGGTTACAATTAAGGAATGTGAGTTTACATCAATCCTTAAAAAGGTAAAGGTAAAGGACCCCTGACAGTTAAGTCCAGTCACAGACGACTCTGGGGTTGTGGCGCTCATCTCGCTTTACTGGCCGAGGGAGCCGACGTTTGTCCGCAGTTTTTCCGGGTCATGTGCCCAGCATGGCTAAGCCGCTTCTGGTGAAACCAGACCAGCGAACGGAAACACCATTTACCTTCCCGCCGGGGCGGTACCTATTTATCTACAGTGGTACCTCGGGTTAAGAACTTAATTCGTTCTGGAGGTCCATTCTTAACCTGAAACTGTTCTTAACCTGAAGCACCACTTTAGCTAATGGGGCCTCCCACTGCTGCCGCGCCGCCGCCACACGAATTCTGTTCTCGTCCTGAAGCAAAGTTCTTAACCCAAGGTACTATTTCTGGGTGAGCGGAGTCTGTAACCTGAAGCGTCTGTAACCCAAGGCATCACTGTACTTGCACTTTGACGTGCTTTCGAACTGCTAGGTTGGCAGGAGCTGGGACCGAGCAACGGGAGCTCACCCTGTCGAGGGGATTCAAACCACCGGCCTTCTGATCAGCAAGCCCTAGGCTCTGTGGTTTAGACCACAGCGCTACCTGCGTCCCATACATCAATCCTTAAGTAGCATTAAATATTATGTGTCAGCTTGTCTCTTAGCTCTTCTGTTTGCCTTCCCTTTGGGGATGTTTGTCTTATGGAACAATCTACAAATACTTGACAATTAAAGGTAAAGGTAAAGGGACCCCTGACCATTAGCTCCAGTCGCGGACGACTCTGGGGTTGCGGCACTCATCTCGCTTTACTGGCCGAGGGAGCCGGTGTACAGCTTCCGGGTCATGTGGCCAGCATGACTGAGCCGTTTCTGGCGAACTGGAGCAGCGCACGGAAACGCCATTTACCATCCCGACGGAGCAGTACCTATTCATCTACTTGCACTTTTGAGCGTGCTTTTGAACTGCTAGGTTGGCAGGAGCAGGGACCGAGCAACGGGAGCTCACCCCGTCGCAGGAATTCGAACCGCTGACCTTCTGATCGGCAAGCCCTAGGCTCTGTGGTTTAACCCACAGCGCCACCCGCGTCCCTATCTTGACAATTACTAAATCACGTAATATTAGCAGCCTCGAGCCCTGCATTGCTTGGGAATTCTAACAAACAAAATCAGTGCAGTTTTGAAAATAATGGTTAAATCAGTGCAGTTTTTAAAGGTTCAGTACCCCGTATTGATTCAAAATGACATCTGATTGTATCCAAGCATAGATGAAAGCCTGCTCCTTGACCTCAGGAACCACCATGCAAAATTTGGTTATGATGTCTTTGGTTATGCCCAACTGCATAGTGAACAAACAAGTTTCCAAACTACATAGCAGTTTTTCTTTTAGTTTGTAAACTGAATTTTCCCAGCCTCTGCAGCTCCTCCTTAGAAGTAGATGAACATTCAGATGTTCTTTCTCAGGAACATAATGACGGGCAAGGACAGAAGGTTATGCAAGGTAGCATCGCTGGATCTCTTCATTGGTCCTGTTTCCAGACTAACACAGTAAAACACATTTTGCCACTGAATTCTGATGGAACAGAAGGAGAAACTAGAGACAGATTTCAAAATGAAAGAGCAACTCCTCTTAGGGTGTGTGCAGAACTGGGGATCAGACCCGAGTGCAGAAAAACGTGAGAGTTTTCCCCCCTTAATGATATAGAAATCTATGTATAACTAAGGGATAAAATAGAAATGACTAGCTACAGGCACCTGTTTCTTCATTCACAGTCCTTCTTTCTTATTGCTGAATTGCTATTAAACCAATATAGTTACAATAAAAACAAACATGAAAACCCAGGAAGGGCTGGAAGGGGGGTGAAAGGAAGTGTGGGAGCTGTGTTGCAAACACACATGTCCAGACACATCTGCACATTAATCCAGAAAGAAAGATTGGCAGACAGAATTGGGACTGATCTACTAGCTATTCCATATGACCAGCTATGCAAAATTGAAGGTGGACTGCATTGAGACTTGGAAGACTTATGCGTGATCGTTCCACACAAAAGGGGTTTTGCTCAATTCTCAGTATGTCTTTTTCCATTAAAAGTTCTCCAAAACCATTTCAGCAGCTTTGAACGGATCTGGCTTTGATGCCTATTCCAGAAATATATCGTCTTCTATATCTGAACACTGTAGCAACTAAAATCTGAACCGGATTTTCCCCTACTGTACCAATAAACACATAAATGCAATGAAACATCAGGAGTAAAACAGCTTATTCCAAACGGAAGAAACTTGCTCACATTTTTTTTAAAGTGCCCATTTTGAGGAATCCCATCTTTTATATATTATATTAATGATCCACTTGGATTGTTTCTTGGCTTTGGTAAGTTTCTAGGACAAATATTTTAGATATTTCTCCTAGCCTTCTAAAAGACAAATTGGCAGCACTAAAAACAGTTACAAAACAAATGTATTTTTTTAAAAAAAGAAAAACAAGCCTAAACTTAAATTGCAGGCTTATTAGCAGTGGGTCTGGAACAGTGACACAGGGACAGGATGGGGGGGGGGATAAGTGGTAACTCTAATGGTTAAGCTGGCAGAACATACAGAAAATGAATATTATTACTAGTCAATGCTGGCTATAGCCTACATTGATTAATTTTGTTTTTGGGAGGAAGGGATACAGTTAAACACTATATATTTAATCTTATCATCAAGGAATGGAAAAGCATGTACAGAAGTCTCGGCAACTTGATCTAATTTCTTTTAACAGGTTTACTCCATGAAAGTCAGTGGATTGACAGTTCTGGGCGAAAAAATACCAATGTTACACAAAGATTTTACAGGCAACTTATGGAAGGCTGAAGAGGAACAGAAGTCACAAGCAGTCATGAAAACTGGTGTAGCCAATTGTAGATATCCATACTTTACTGTTTTTTAATTGGTGTTGTTTATGTGCATGCATATATATATGTATATATATATATATATACATACACATATACATACACACATGGCAGTTTTCTGGAATTTAATAAATAAGGACAACTTATAATATATAAAACAATATAAACATTTATATGCTACATGCATATCATATAATTTAGACATAATAATTTATACGACGGAGAGGCACAGACCTATGTTCGTCCAATTTTTCTGGATAATGCACACACACAAGAAGTGTCTATTCTTATCCATCGCCAGGCTACAAGTTTATTGTTTTCTGAAGTCAATGCTCGTACAAATGTTTGGGATGTTTTGCACTGCGAGTTCCAGTGCTTATCATCTATACCACGGCAGCCACTTTTGGCAGGCTTGGCTTGTTTACACTTTGTTTCATAAAAATATTGCTTGACTGGGGAAGGCCCTGTTCTGATTTCTCCCAGCACAGTAACCTGGTGTCCTCTAATGTCAATGGCAGAAGATTTGTCTGTGACCCACCGGCTCTCACTGTCACACACGGAATACTCCCCACGGTGACTCTTGTTTTCAGCAAACCTCTTCTGCCGAGACGTTTGGTTTGCCGCCACAGAACTGCCAATGTAATCCTCCTGTAAGGTATAATGGTGGGGGTTCCAATGGAGTATTGTCACTCAGGAGGACCCTGGGGGAGCTGTAGCGTTTCTGGTGTTTTAGTAGTTCTGTATCCATTGAGATAACCGGTTGGAAATCCAGTTTCACACTTTCATTGCCATCCATATCAGGCTCAGCAGTCTCTGTTTTCTTCACTGTGTCTTGAACACTATCCTTTATATCTGTGATTTGCTTGGAGATCTTATTTCTCAAGATGTCTGCTTGAATAAGTTTTATAATGAGAGAATTTATTGAATCTTCTGGTAAACTCCCTTGGTCCATGTTGGTAGACTGGATGCCACGGAGATAAGCAAGGAATATCACATAAAACAAGATGGACATCACCTTGTTCACGTGTAAGATCTGAAAAAAAAAACCAAGAGTCAACTTGGAGACAAACAAATGAGCTACATAGTCAACTGGTTGGTGGTGATTGTTTTTCTTTCCATCATTTTCTTTTCAATATTTTGCAGGTGCAAAGTTTTACAAACTGTGTGTGCAATACCAAACGGCCAATAAATTCATGCAAGCTTTCCCCCAAATTCATATGGTCATATGAAGCTTCTTTAGACAAACCATTGGCTCTTTACGCTCAATATTATCTACTGTGACTGGCCGTAACCCTTTCCAGCCCAGCTGTTCTGGACCCCTATAGCTGGAGGTGCCAGGAATTAACACTGGGCTTTCTGCCTGCTTTCTGATTGAGCTAGGAAAAAAATCTATGAATCTGCCTTATACTGTACTGATTAAGATCATATTGTCTGCTATGAATGGCAGGAGCTCTCCAGAATCTCACATGGAAATCTCTCATATCCCTACTCTCTGAGATTCATTTAACTGGAGAGGCCAGGGACTGAATTTGGAACATGCATGTAGACATGAATGGCAAGCATATCATTCCTATTTTTTAAACTCTCAGAAAAATCTGACCTGCGCCCTGATCTCAGGAGTTCTTGCTGTAAGGTTCTAATTCACACATACATTCCACTGATACCAGCTGAATTTTTACATGGCAAAACTGAATCCATGCACGGTCCGTAAGCCTGTGTATTCACAGTGTCCCTCGTGGTGGTCACAGAGAAGAGCAAAGATGTGTGTGTGTATTACTAAGTGTATGGTCGGAATCAAATATTACAGCAGACTTACGACTACCACTAAAAACAAGAATCTCACCCCATCTTCTTCCACTCTGCCTTTGTAACATCATGCAAGTTTCTCACTCCTGCAAATAGCAGCCAATGGAATGGAGTGGGAAAATCATGTGTGATTATATAACGCATTAAGTATTTCAATATCAGGATTGAGCAGAAGATAAAACCATTGGTGGGACACCAGTGGACCAGCAGCTAGAGACTGCTGGTTGCTGGGATCTTGCAAAGAAGTCAGAGAATAGTAGACTGACCACTTCCAACACAGCAGATGTTCTAAGCTGAACATCTCAAGATGCCATATCCCATATTAGTTATGCCTTAATAATGCAGAGACCCTGACTATGCACTTTTGCTCTGTAAAAAGCCTGGAGAAGAGGAGGTTAAGGGGTGATATGATAGCCATGTTCAAATATATAAAAGGATGCCACATAGAGGAGGGAGAAAGGTTGTTTTCTGCTGCTCCAGAGAAGCGGACACGGAGCAATGGATCCAAACTACAAGAAAGAAATTCCACCTAAACATTAGGAAGAACTTCCTGACAGTAAGAGCTGTTCGACAGTGGAATTTGCTGCCAAGGAGTGTGGTGGAGTCTCTGTCTTTGGAGGTCTTTAAGCAGAGGCTTGACAACCATATGTCAGGAGTGCTCTGATGGTGTTTCCTGCTTGGCAGGGGGTTGGACTCGATGGCCCTTGTGGTCTGTTCCAACTCTATGATTCTATGATTCTATGAAATATAAAACTCATTTTTCTTTCTAGCAAAAGAAAAGAAGGGGGGTGAAGTAGCCTGTTAGCCCACAGTTGCCCTAATGTTTTTCGTAGCATCACTACTTTTAGTTGTAGACTCTGGTCCACAAAACTGTACAATATAGTAACAGTGCAATTTTAAGTATACTTATTCAGATGTCAGTCATACTGCGCTCCATAGAACTTATTCCCTGCCAAGTGCGTTGAGAATTTCAGCCTTAATGTGTTAGCTTTTTGCAACTTGCATCTCTGGACCAGTTATATTTCTGCTTTCTGCTCTGGATGTGGGAGGGAGTAATGACTGTCAACGTGCAGGCTGCCCTTTTATGGTCAAGAAATGTGTTTTCCTCATTCCCATATTTTGTTATGAAATGAGCTCACCTAAGTCTAGACTACGTTTTCCTTAATACTTAAATGACAATTTCTTGCTGTTCTGTAAAAAGAGAAGTCTGTGGAGAAAACATTGGGGTTTCTAACAGTAGATCACTAGAACGGAAGGACCGGCACTCTTGCTGAAGCAAGCTGCTTGTGAAATGGTAACCCAGATCTCACAACGGTGGGAAGAAAGAGTGGTTAGAGCTTCTAGCACGGCTGATATCAACTGGAGAATGAAAATTGTCCATCTGCTGTACTCCACCAAACTAAGCTTGTCCAACAGAAGGCATGGAACCATCAGATATCAACAGTTATGTCAAGTGTTGTAGAAAAAGGTCAGGTGACCAGGCTTTGGTTGGAGTAAAACTGTTCCTCAACTATACAACATAAAATTTATCAGATTGCATTTTTCTTTTTACAAAGTCCTTAAAAAAAGGCATTTATGCACATGCTTTTTATGAATGCTTTCCCCCCAAATATACGCTCTTGTGCAGCTTTTGGCTGTCACAAAATTTGGAGAAGTGCAAATTTTGAAGGGCAGCTGCATTTCAGTGTGCAGTCTGCCTCAGGAAGCGTGAATTAGCTAAAATGCAAAGTGGACCAAGTTTCTCCTTATCCCAAGCTGCAGTCTGTTGCTTTCTATGTACAGGGATTTTTCTTTTTCCCTGTGGCGAACCATTTCCCAATGCGGTCAAGTCCAGGGTCAGTTTTACTGCTTCAACCCCTGCCTGTGGCCTCTCTTCATATTTCTCAAATCTTTGCGCTCCACAGATAAGTGAATGCAAATAACTAATTAGGGATGAGCTTAATAGTCCAGTAGTAGAGGTCAGACTTTTCCACTCTTGGCTGGATTGACCACAGGCTCAAAAGATTGGGAGGATACTTTCTCGTCATCGTCCCGTCCCCCCCATTACAGAGAAAATGCTGCTATTGCTGTTTCACTACTTTTGGGGATGTGTGTGTTAGTAACCTTCTCTTTTCTACTATAAATTAAGTTATTAAAATTTTACTGCTACTTTCCAACTAGTATGGACACTTAGTTCTTTGTAGAAAGAAGGAAGAAGGACATGGCAAGAGAAGGTTCCCCCTTTCCGGCTATCCCCTCCCTCCATGGAAGAACAGCCATTGCATCCCCATTCCCAACCTCTAAGGAAGCTGCCTAGTTTGAGCAGAGACAAGTTTATGAATTGGTTGCATAGTAGAAAAACCGAGTGAGGCTGCTTCTGTTGCAGCACCTCTGCTACTGATAAGAAGAGTCTGCCAGAAGCAGAAGGGCAGCTGTAGATGTAACGGTCTTCTGCCTTCCATGGAGCCAAATCCAGTAGAAGCTGTCCAGCACCAATGGTGCCCTTAGGGCCAGAAAGAAAAGGTTGTCCACTCTTCTGGACTTCTTCCACCAATCTGCTGAGCAGCATCCAGGGGGAGGGGAGCTCACTGGACAGCTGCATGTAGCATTTGCAAGATTACAAAGGAGCCACAGAGACTGGATTAGAAGGAACAAACTTGACTTAATGGTGTGCTGCTAGCAAACTTAGCTTTCTTTCCCTGCTGGTGACACCCAGAACTGATTCCTGCCTCCCTCCCCCCCCCCCAATACAACCATTTCTAAATCACTTTAGTTCCTGCTCACACTACAGCTGAAAGCTCCTCTGCAGGAGCTGCTACATTTGTGCAGCCCCAGTAAGCCCTAGTTTGGTTTATCATTAAAACAAACCAGTGTTTTCCAATCAAACGCCAATTGCAATAAGGAAAGTAAAAAGCCTGTCGGAAAAGCCACTTACTGATTGCAGTATCGCCATTTTGATTTAGCACCAGGCATTTCTTATGCTTCCTTTAGGAGCAGAACGTCCAAACTGCAAGTTGGCAGCTGATTAAGGACCATCTGCACAGGCCAGTAGGTCCGGAGTGAGACAATATTAAGAGCCTGGAAAAGGCTAAGGCCTTTGGCAGAAAATAAAGTGAGAGTCTACTAAGTGAGAGTCAACGTAAACACTGAAAGCTGATGCATCTGGAGAATCATTATCCTGAGCTTGAGATATTAAAAGGAAGGGAGAATGTTAGGAAGTAGTGATATCTAAACAGACCCCTGGGGATCTAAAACCTTTGCTTACACACATTTTATTAAAGTTAAACAAACATATATTGGGTGGGAAACGGATATGAACCTGAAACAGGCAATGGTCCAAAATGCAGAAATGCACACAGAGAGATAGGAAGCGCTCTCCTCTCTCCATGAACAATTCTCAAACTGCATGAACACAAGAAACAAATAATTAAACACACCCAAGGTTCTTATCCATGGGGGGGGGGTTCTTATCCTACCATATTTTTGCATAATTCGTTGTCTGGACTTGGCCCCTTCCAATCAACCTCTTCTGGAGAGTGATCATTCACTTGCATCAGGTGTGATTGATTGATTGATTGATTGATTGATTGATTGATTCAGTTATTCCCAATGCAGAGATGCAGCAGGACCCACATTAAGAGGAAGCTGCTGCTATTTTCAGGAAAGACTACAAAAGTAATGGATTTAGTAACCTCTGCTTGAATCACCTCCTTCGAATCAAGAGGAATGGTCAGATCAGTGAACTGGGTGGATACAAAGCAAGCAGACAATTCTTACTCTTTGACTGAGCAAGAACAAACTTTTTTGGGGGGTATAAGAATGATGCGTCTTCATATGTAACTGCTAAAAAGTCTGCCCCAGCTATCAAAAGGAAAACAGCACTCTGCACGCTTCCAGACACGTCCAATGACTTATTTGGGTAAGGTCTTTTTTTAGAAAAACCTTCTTTCCAAATAGAAACGATCAAATCTCCCACCCAGCCATTGCATTGTACACAAAATGTTCCTGCTCTGCTTTATTCTTTGCTTTGCATGAAATTTAGTTAACAAATGAACATTGGCCCATACTTTACAGATGCAATATTCACTGTGAGCCATGGCACACAAATACTAGTGAAATGCCATGGTTTAACTATGGCTTGAGATGATTTGTAAACTGGGCCAATGAAATTAATGGACAACAGGCTGAAGGAGGACAAAAGTGCTACAAACAACCCATGGTTATGGAATTCACTGCCGTAAGACATAC